CGGCCCCCTTTGCACAGCACTTTTGAAGGACGTAACTCAAGTTCCAGAGAGGGCGGCCGGGGATGTCCGGGATGCAGGCGCCGGCGCTGGAGATGGCAGGGACCGAGCCACAGGCTCCTTGCCCTGGAGGCCTCAGACCAGCTCCCAAGATGGGGGACGCGTTCCCAGCCCCAGGTCACCAGCACTGTCAGGTCCAAGACAGGCCTTTTCTCATTCCACACTCACTAGGCTGTGGCTTCATCCTTGGGTTCACGTGATGAAACAACCCCTTTGCCCCTAGCCTCACTGCGATATAACTGACACATCACAGTGGATGAGCTCGGGGTGCCCATGTGATGATCCGACATGGGTATATACTGCAACATGACGACGGCAATAAAGACTGATTAACCGACTCTTCAGCGACACCCAGAGCCTTCCTGGTGAGGCTCGGGGCAGTGGGAAAGTACTTGTACCCTGAGGGTTATCCTCTAAGTTCTCTAGAGAACAGCAGCCAGGCTTTCCTAAGTGCTCATCGCAACCACGCGCCCCACAACTGCACAGGCGACACTCTCCAGCACCGTAAGCGGCAGAGTCAAGCCTCGGTTCAGGGCTGTCCCACTCGAAAGGCCAGGCAGCACCCCCCACACACACACCGGCCTCCCAGGTACTCAGCCCTGTGCCGCCAGTCTCCCAGAAAGCTGGTACAAGGCTGCGGAGCCAATTTCTTGGTTCCCATTTCTTTGAAACCTCAAAGCTCTTCCATCAGAGGTGAGTGCACAGTGGGCCTCATTGCCTGCTGAATGAATGAGTGAGTTAGGTTAGCAAGGCTTCTTCAAGGCGCTTCCAGGCTTGGAAGCTCAGTGCCTTGTGCTGTCCTGGGTGTGGGCTGAAGCAAAGGAGCCGGGGCTGGGGGCAGGAGGGGCCTCACTGAACACTGACCAGCCTGCACCATCTAACAGAGAGATGCGGTTGAGGCCACAGGAAGGACGGGTTCACACACTGAGTACCCACGAACTTGTCTGCAAGTCCGGTACTGCTCCGAGCCTCCTGGGCAAGGCTGGGATGAGGCTCACAGAAGATAAGAATGTCCGTGAACTGGAAAGTTCCATAGAAAACTCATGGAGGAATCAGTACTTTATTGCAACTCAGCCTCTGGGGACAGTCCCAGGAGTCCTCCGCCTCAAAGCCCTCCCTCCACCCTTGCTCCCCCCAGCTGCCACCATTCCTCTCGTCCCCTTAAAGCAAGACAAGATGGAAGAGTGTTTTAGCGAGGACCCTGGGACTATTCAGGCCTTAAATCCTTGCTTCTTTACTCACTAGACCTGAGATACTGGGAAGTGACTTGACTTCTCAGAGCTTTGGTTTCCTCAGCTCCAAAAACTAATGCCTCAAGCATTGTTGCGAGGATTTAATGCAACAATACCCACAATGCGAGGGAGCAGGGACCGAGTTGCCACATCTCACACTGCCTGTACTCCACAAGCCATCTCTGGACCCTCTCTGCTCTAGAACTGCTCCTGCCAAGGTCACTATTGATCTCTGCGTTGCTGAGTCCAGTGGGCAATGTTCAGTCCTTATCTGATGGATTCTTCACCTCAATGGACACACTACTCCCCTATTCTTGAAACACACTCTTGTTTTCATGACTCCACACTCTTCTTCAGCTGTGCCTTCTCCTTTGCGGGCATTACCGCTTCTTTCTATGGGTGTCCTTTCGGGGTTTGTCATAGACCTCTCCTCTTGTGTCATGCTCTCTCCGGGAGACAATCCCATGGCTTTGATTACTTCCTAGTTGCTGTTGGTTCCAAACTCTCCACCTCCAATCCCAATCTTTCTCCTGGGATTGACTCTGTGACGGCACTCTCCCCTCCAGACCTGTGCTCTGGGTGTCTCATGGACAGGTCAGCAAGACCATCATGAGATGGTTCTCTTCTCCAGCCAAATCCACTCTTCCTCCTGTGTTCTCTTTCCCCATGAATGCCATCCCTTCCTCCCAGAACTGGGGCTCATCCTTGACTCTGTCCTCTCTCTGTACCCTAATCCCCATTATTTCTTCTCTAAACTACCGAAACATCTCTCTCTCAGTCTCCTAACCTCCAATTTTCTCTTCCAATCCATCCCCCCCCCCAACTGGATGTTCTAACTAAAATACAAATTCGGAAGGATCCTCTCTCTCTCCTAAAATCCTTTAGTGGTTCCACACTACCCTTAAGAGAGGTTGTGGGACCTTGTCCCACCCTCATTTGTCACCTGCCCATTTGCACCTATTGCTCTAACCACATTCCTCCAGTAGGCCATATTTCATCTCATCTTTTCATATTTCATGGTCTCCCTTTGGCCATGAGTACTTTCTTCTTCTCGACTCTTGAAAAACAAAAAACAAAAAAAGGAACAGCTACTCGTTTTCACCACGGACGCCTGAGTCCCTACCATCAGAATCATCTTCCTGACACTTCTGACTGGGTAGGAGGCATCCTTGCTATGTGCTCCCCAATTCACCTACCCAAGAAATAGTATCTGAACATCTGCTATGTCCCAGACACTCTTCTAGGTCCTAGGGATACAGTACTGAATGGGATGATAAAGTACTTGGCCCTAGGGGGCTTATATTCAAGTGGGGATGGAACACAAAAAAACATAATTTCAGATGGCCATGAGAATTACGAAGCAAAATAAAGGGCAGAGTGTGCTGGACAGAACCAGCGAGGGGGCGAGTAAGGAGTCTGGAGGCAAAGGTTGGTTGCCAGAGTCTCTGGGCCTTGGTGACCACAGCAATGAGTTTAAGTTTTGTTCTAAGATGGAAATTCACTGGAGAGTTTGGTGCAGGGACGTACCAAGATTAGATTTATATTTTCAAAATATCACTTTGGCTGCTGTGTAGAAATCAGACTGCGAAGGGAGGGAGACCAGCCTCCTCCCCCCCGTTCTCCGTCCCTTCCGCAGACTCTTCGGGCGTGCAACACTCCTCCCTCCCGTCGGACTCCTTAGCGCTGGGGCTTGTAGCATGAGCTCGCAGCCCTATAGGGCCGGTGCAGTTCACACGGCTGCAGTGACTCGTACCAGGGGTTGCTTTGTCCGTGGGTCAGCCCACTAGGGTAGAGACCGCTGTATCCCGGTGCCCCGCCCCGTCCCGGGAGGCTCTGGGTTCCCCGGCCCCGCCCTCCCACAGCGCCCCATCCCCCTCCGACACCTCCCGAGTCCCCGGCCCCGCCCCACCGCGCCGCGTTCCCCGCAGTGCGGGGTCCCGGGCCCCGTTCCATCCCTGGCGGCCTCCGCCGTGGCTGGCGCGGGTTCCTTGCTCAGTGGGCGCTTGTCGAATGGCTACAGAATGGATACATTTATACGAATGATACAGACTTTCTCCGCACCCCACGTGGATGGAGAGCGTTTAAAGATTTCGTCCCCCGCGCCCGGGGGCTCAGTGGGCTCAGCGTCCGCCTTCGGCTCAGGTCCGGATCCCCGGGCTGTGAGGTCGAGCCCCGCACCCGCTCCCTGCTCGGCGGGGCCCGCTCCTCCCTCTGCCCCACCCCGCTGTTCTCTCCGGGAGCATCAGAGGCCATTCCTAGTATTAACAAGAACAAGCGCAGAGAGGGGAAAGCGAGTCTGACGGCGCGACGCCACCACGCCTACCGCCGAGGCTAACGGAGAGCCCCGCGCCGCCCGCACTGCGGAGAGGCCGTGCGAGGACACCGCCCAGCCCGAGCCCAGCCCGCGAGCAGCCCCTCCACGCGCAGCCCCTCCGCGCGCAGCACCTCGAAGCGCAGCGGCGGGCGGAGTCTCGAACCGCTGGGGGGCGGGTGGAGGCGGGACGCCGGCCCCTTCAGCACGCCTATTGGCCGTCCTGGGTACGGACTACTCTCGCTGACCAGCCGTAGTCCAGGTGCGGCGCAAGCGTCGTCCGGAGCCTACGCGAACGGGGCGCGGACGGCGAGAAGCGCGCATGCGCCTGGGCGTCCAGCTGGCCGTGACGGGCGGGGCCGGGGGTTTCCCGCGGGAGAGCCGCCCGACGGGGCCGCGCTGCGTTCCGAGCGTGCTCCTCCCGGAGCCTGGGGACAGGGGACGTTCAGTGCCCGGAAGCTGCCCCGCTGGGAGCCCCCGTCTCAGCTCCTCCTACCCCGTGCTGTGGGCCGGCCGCGCCCTGACCCGCCCTGCGGCTGCTGAATTATTAAAGGCCGGGCAGCCCGACGCCGTCCGCGGGCAGCGCGCCTCCCCCGCCGGCCCGCCGGCTCTGCCCCGGGTAGCCCGCTGGTAGAGCCCGCCAGTGACTAGACAGGCTCGCGGTAATCCTGGTCCTCGCGAGTGCTCGGCGTGGAGCGACGCGGCACTGACCCGGTCACCGGGAGCCCTGCGCGGAGGCGAGGAGGGCGCAGCCGCAGGGCGCCGCGGGCCGAGCAGGTGCCGAGCCCTGGCGTGAGGCCCTGTGGCTGCAGCGGCGTGAGACGGGCCGTGCCTGACCACGGTCCGCTCAGGAGCCTGCAGCGGACTCCCGGGCCAGCGGGAAGCCGGCGGACTGCGGCAGAACCTTGCTGCGACGTGACTTTCGCTCTACGGAGCGGAAAAGTGAGGTTTAGGAAGGCGACCAGTCGGAAGGCTGGGAGAGGGGGGCTAGAACCTGTCTAGGTAGCTGGTGAGGACTGGGTGCGTTGGAGGAGGGAAAAGATAAAACCAGGATGATTCCCAAGCTTTTGGAACGTGCCTCTGGGTGAATAGTGGTGCTGTTTATTGAGATGGGGACAGGTGCCGGGGGTGGGATTCAGGGTTCATCTGTGGCCGCCGTGAGTCTGAAGCGTTCACTGGACATCCAGACAGACGTGTCCAGTTGGAGGTCGGAGAGGGATCAAGGAGAAGAGTTACACATGGGCAGGCAGATGATATATTTTTTTAAGATTTTATTTATTTGACAGAGAGACACACACACAGAGAGCACAAGCAGGGGGAGTGGGAGAGGTAGAAGCAGACTCCCCGCCGAGCAGGGAGCCCGATGTGGGGCTCAATCCCAGGACCCTGGGATTATGACCGAGCAGAAGGCAGACGCGTAACAACTGAGCCACCCAAGCGCCCCATGGCAGATAGTATTTAAACCATAGGTTTTGGTAGTGCCATTTGCAGACGGAAACTAGAAGAGGGCCAAGGGGAAAATCCTGGGGTTCTCCAGCATTGAACGATCCAGCTGAGTTGTGGGAGCTGGCAAAGGAAACCAAAAGGGTAGAGAGGAAAAGTAGGGGTAGGATGTCTTCAAAGACAGGAAAGGCAAACTTGAAAAGATGCGGATTATCTGGCTTAAATGTTTCTCAGAAGTCAAGTGACACGCAGGCAGAGAAGTGGCCGTTGGATCTGATACCTTTTTGGTTACTGAAGGCTTTTTCAAGGGTAGTGCCTAGGGAGAGATGGGGATGGAGCCTGATGGGAGTGTTCCGAGAAGAGGAGGAAAGGCAGAGAGAAAACATTTTGCTCCGAAAAGGAGCAGAGATATAGATAGTTGGAAATAAATGTCTTGAGAGTGTTTTCTTAACTACGAGAGATGCCAGAGCAAATTCCCATGGTGGCAAAGGCTGATGCAGAAGAGAAGGGGAAACTGAAATTTATCGAAGCCCTATTTAGTGTATTAAGAGCTTTGCAAACATTCATCTTCACGATGTTTTACGGATCAGGCAGTTGAGGTTAAATAATTTGCCCAAGGCCATGCAGGTAGACGTGGCAGAGCTGAGAGCCACCCAGGTTTCTTGGACTCTTCACGCCTCACCACCCCATTGCACAGGCACACAGCTCCCTATGCAGAAGCACTGGGACATGCCTTTGCCCCGGCCAGAGTGCCCCTGTCCAGTCGGAGGGCTCTCACACTGGGGGCGTAGGACTTTTTTTCCTCTTCAGATGCTGTAAGCAGGGGCCTCTCCCCCAGACAGCCTGAATACCCAGATACCCATGCAGCACAGGACAGACGCTCTCCCAGTCCTGAGGGCCAGAGGCAAGCAGCAGGAGCCCCCAGAGGCAGGCGCAAAGGGATACTTCTGGGGATGTTCAGCAGGTTTCTTTTGTGTCAGCCAGCGCGTGGGGTGCTGGGGGTTGTTGGTCCCACCAGCTGGTGCCTGTGCCCCCAGCATTCACCTGGATGTGTTCAGAGGGTCAGGAAGCCCAGGTCAGAGCCCAGTCTCCCGGCTGCCCCCATTGAGGCTGAGGCTGTGGGGGCGGGGACCACGCTCCAGCCGGCGGCCAGACAGGAGGCGCCGCAGTGAAGAGCCAGAGCTCAGGTCGCCACAGCTTCGAAGGTGGAGGCTCTCACGGCCTGGCCGACCCCATGGGCTCCGGGGCACCTAGAGGGGGCCACAGGACCGGGCATCAGTGTGGCTTAGCCTAAAGCTCCCGGTTTTCCTGGGTATCTTCCCAGACTCCCCTAACTCCTACCTGCTTAAACCCATGGGCCCCATTCCCACTGGGGTCTGGGGCCTTCTTGGACATCTGGAAGAAACGAGAGACCAAGCCTCGGCCTGGCCAGCTGCTCTTAAGGTCCCCCAAGGAGTGGGCAGGTGCAGGGCCGGAGGGCAGGGGGACCTTTTGAAAGGTGGGCACAGGGCGCCGTTTCTCAGCTGAGCGGGCGCGCAGCAGCTTGGGCGAAGGGCAGCGGGCTAGACGGAAGAGGCAGGCTTCAGAGCAGAGCCCTGGAGAGAGAGAAGGTGGGAAGGGAGGTGCACAGAGGGCCAGGCAGCACTCCCTTAACCCCCACCCCCTGGGCGCCAAACACACGCCTGACCTGTATCTGCAGAGGAAAGGGAGGCAGCCTCTTCCTCGAGCACTTTGGTATAAAGGTCCCTGAAGTCAGCTGTGGGGGGAGGGAGGGAGTGGAAATGCCGGGTCGACAGGCCCTCCCAGGAGAGACTCAACCCCACACACTCCACCCTCAACCAAAATGTCACGTCTGCCCATGTCTGCCGGAAACCCGATGGCGCAGCCCAGCAAGACAGGGACTAAGGCGGTCTCATGGCAGCTGTGTGCCCCCCAACTCCGGCCCCCTGGACGGAGCACGAGGCCAGGGCTGAAATGCTGTTGGGTCCCCTCATTCCTCAGTCACTCCAGCACCTGGGCCGAGGGGCTGCTCCTGTGCCTAAGGAGCAGGTGGGGGGCCTGGGAGAGGGTGGGTAATGGGGACCGGCTGGGAGCTGTGGAAGCTTCTTCCTCTTTCTGCCGCTTAGCTGCTGACGGTGTGGTTTTAGAAGGGGAACGCTCAGAAGTGTCTCCTGTGGGAGTGAACTCACCCCTTCTTGTTCCTTGGGGACCGCCACCTGTCCTAAGCCCTGTGGGCACCACTGGCCCTCTAATCCCCCACCTGCTGTCTCCCGACCCTCGGGGCTGTGTGTGCAGGGGTGGGGCATGCTCACCGGTGTCGCTGGATGTGGTGATGCCTGGGTCACTGTGGGACCGCGGCAGCAGCAGCAGCGGGGGCGGCGGGAGAGCCAGATGGGGAGGCCGGTGCCCAGGCGGTGGTGGCGGCGTGAGGGAACCTGAGCTGTCGCTGAAGCGGCGAGCAGGGGCGCGGGCGGGAGGGGCTGCAGCGGGCCGGCCGCCTCCTGGGCCGCCTCCCCTGGGGACCCGCCGCCGCAGCTCCGGGAAGCAGGGTCCCACCCAGGGCGGCCAGCCCTCCAGCCGGTGGCAGCTGCGGGCGGCTGTGGGGGCTCCCAGCGCGGGCGGGGCCTCGGGGGCCGAGCAGGAGTAGGAGCGGGCGGCCCGCGGGGGCCGCCGGGGCAGGGGGCTGTCCTCGAAGGGGCCGCGCAGGCCGCAGTCCAGGCTGAGGCAGTAGCCAGCGCGGCTGCGCTGGATGGAGCGGAAGAGCACGTAGTCGACCGAGCGCACGGAGCCCTGCAGCTCCAGCAGGCACGAGTCCTCCGACGGGCTCGAGCCCCCGGGCAGGTCCCCGATGGCCGACAGCACCAGAGATCCGCTGTCCATGGACACTGTGGACGGCAGGGGGGCGTGCGGTGGCGGCCGTCTGTCCGCAGCCCTCTGGAGACCTCAGAGTCCGGCACCCCCCACCCAGCTCTGCCCTCCCAGGCAGCCCAGCCCTTGCCCCCCGCTCCCTGTTTTTGCTCACCATCCACGATGGAGGCCACGTGCTCGCAGACGCAGGAGCTGTCGTGAAGCTGGGGATCAAACAGAGTGGCCTGCAGGAAACCCGACGGTCAGGGGGCCGGCACTACGGCCGGTGCGGCCATCCCCCTCACCCCCCATGCGGTGTGCAGGACAGGTCTCTGAAGACCTAGCGTTCAGGCCAGCTTTGCCACCCTGCACAGGTCAGTTATGGGGGCCTGAGTTTCCACATCTGGAAGAAAGGAATAATAGTTCCTGCGTGCCCACACCCCCGCCCCGGCTCTAGAGAAAACCAGATGGCGGGTGCCACAAACACCGTGAGGACTACTGTCTTCTTTGTCCAGGGACAGCAGCTCCCTCAGCTTTTCAGGCTCTGTCGCCAGCTCCCCAGGCCACGCCAAGCCCTGTTCTCACCTGGCTGTCTCCTCGTAGCCCCATGACGACCTCATAAGAAGGAGGGCAATCCGTAGGGTACAAAGGCACCGGGCTGTCCATGGAGCCATTGTAGGTGATGCTGGTAGGAAGACAGGGAGGACAGAGCCTGGAAAAGCACTCCTACTACACAAACCTCCCCCTGCCCCCTCCCCCCAGCAAGCCAGGCTGCAGCCCCTACCCTCTTGCTTAGTTCCCCTGGCAGGACTCCGCCCGGCCTCACCTCTGCGCATCTGTTTCCGAGCTGCAGGTATACTCAGGGGGGTAGTAGGGCGGAGGGGGCACTGGCGGTATGAATTCCTCCAAGTCCAGCGTGGTGTGAAGGACAGGCGCTGCGGGCGCCGATGTACAGCCCAGGGGCCCCAGGGGGCCTGAGACTGAGCGCTCGGGGGCCAGCTGCTGGGGCACGAGCGGCTCAGTGGGCCTGGTTTCTGGGAATGTGGCTTCTAGGCTCCCAGACGCCGCCACATTGTCCTGGGCCTGCCCCCACCCCCGCCCCCCACGCCACAGCCAGCTCCCCTTCTCCCTCTGCCCACTCATCTAGAAAGTCCTCCACTTCATGGCCCCACCTACCCCCAAAATCGCCACCTGTTCTCTGCCCCTACTAGAACACCAACCCTCTATCCTTGGCCCTATCTGGGATCTTCTGGACTCCACCCGATCTGCAGTCCCATTGTCTAATGTCCGCTCTCTGGGCTGCCTGGCATCACGGATTTCTCCCACTCCCTGCCCTTCCCCTCCTCATCCTTCCTCGAACCCCCCCTACACATGCCTAATAAACGACCCATGGCCCCCGGTGTTCAGAAGCCAGCACAGTAGCCGCCGTCCCCTCAAGCCCAGTCCCAGCACACACACGCACCTGCCCCGCATCATACCTGCTTGGCTTTGACCCTGGCCCGCCTCTCACCGTGTGCACAAGGTCCAGGGAGAAGATCTGGATGCAGCAGACGATGGCGGAGAGGGTACAGATGATGGCACCACAAATGGTGAGCCCACAGACGCTGAACAGCAGGTTCTGAGAGCGAGAGAGGAGGAAGGGTGTGAGCGGGGCCTAGGGAGGGGTGAGTCCCACAAGTTCTGGACCTGTGAGGACTCCAGAAGGGGAGGCAAAGGTGAAAACCAGAGGGATGGGGTCAGGGGGAGAAAAGAATGGTTGAATCGGGGAGGGCGCACTCACCTTGAGGGCTCCTCGGGCTTCGTCACAGGTGGAGTTAGGGGTGACTTTCAACTCCTGCCCTGACTCTGGACAGGGCCGGAGTAGGGGGACAGAGGGGCAGCACACACAGACCTTTCCTTCCTGAGCGGCAGGGGGGAGGGCGAAGTCAGGACAAACCCAGGGGTCCCGCACACCTCCCATCACCAGGTCTCTCCGGCCCGCCCTCCTCAGGCTCACCATGGAGCAGTCTTGGAAGTCTCGGGCTAGCTGGGCATTCTTACAGGAGAGAACAGAGCCGGCCATGCTGAGCATGACACAGAGCACCGAAAGCAGAGAGAAGAAGGAGATCTGGGGGAAGCAGGAGCACACTCAGGGCTGGGGCCCTGGGGGGGTACCTCTGCCGAGGATGGGACCAGCCCTCACACACAGTTATGCCTGGCTGGCATGAACTGCATGGCCAGTTCCCTCCCTTCTTGGGGGCATATGCTGGAGCTGGGCACCTGCCTCCCGGGGGGCACCAGACTCTAACACCTACCACTAAAGTGAATGGCCGCTTCCAAGACACAACGCCAACCACCCCGGAGAACGCCAGCTGGGGACAGAGTGGGCACAGGCTCAGCCTGGCAAGGGGGAGGCACATGAGTGAGCCCCTCACCACAGGGTGTGCCCAGCCCTGTAAGAAAACAGCCACCCAGAAGAGGGAGGAGAGGCCAGCATTTGCATCAGCTGCTAGTGTGTATCGCAGGGGCCCCAGGAACCTGCCCCCCCCCCCC